ATGCGTGAAAAGATCCATTTTGAAAAAGCATCTCTGCTGAAGGCTGTGAGCTGAAACTGTTGCTGCTCTCATGTATAATTTTGATTTCCTTTGCATTGAGCTTGGAAATAAGTGACACATTCAGCCAGAAATGTGTAAAATGTTTGAAGCCGATATTGCTTTTTCTTCCTTTATTATGTAAAACTTGATCAATCCTTTAACATTCTACAGTATAAAAAAAGCAATAAAAGCTGGTATAATACATGCTAATATTGTATTGGGTCAACATCGTTATCGGCTAATTCTCAAAGCTGTGTTATCATTATAGTAGTGGAAATTAAACTATTATATAGGGACACTCCTACAACATGTCTGTGTGGATTTTCAGGCAGTCACTTCCTATTTGATTCTTGTTTGGCCTTTATAGAGTTACACCTTAAGTCTGTAAATGTTTAATTATGGAAAAAAAAAAGATTTAAAAAAATGCAAACCAACAAATTACAAAAATAAACTCACAACATATGACCAGCTGTTACTGCTCTATAATATTGGACCGTACATCCACATTCAGGCTGTGTCTGAAAGCCGCCCTTATCACTATTTAGGGCACTATATAGTCATTATTGATGTTATGAGATGAGCCGAGGCTTCGAGGCATGTGTCGAGTAATGGAGGGGGCGTTTAAACGAACTGCGTGTCGAGGCGTGTATTATTTAGAGGCGAGGCCAAAATTGATGACGTCCGAGGCCTCGCTACCGTGATACCACGTTACCGTTTCGGGAAGTGGTTCGGGAAGCGCAAGAATTTTGTCAGGCATCTAAACAGCCTCAGTGTTCAGTCAAGATGTGGGAGTTTGTAGCAGAGCTGCTGTCGTTACTAATACTGACTCCCATCCCACGGGAATCCAGTGACCCGTGGGATTCCCGAAAAAATGTCAGTCTCTAGTAGGCACCAACAACCCTCGCAAACCCACTTGGAACAAGCGTGATCGAAAATGGATGGAATGGAACTAAAACATCAATATCATATTGGGCGGCCGAAAATCCCGATATATTGCCAAATCGATTTTTCCCCACAACCCTGCCTTAACAGAGTTCACTATAAAGTCCAATATATAGTCCCCGCTCTAGTGATTGAGGGATTTAGGGGTTAGGGCGGACGTTGAGCCTCAGTCATAAAGCAACAGTCAGAAATAAAGTGAATCTCATAGATAGTTGGTGCGCTTTTAGTTTCCCCACCACGGCTGTCCTCTTATTCAAAAGCATAATGGTGGGAGCACCTCCACCGTACAAACCTGACACCAAAGAGCAGAAAGCCCTGGAAAACTCAATGGCAAAGTGGATTGGGCGTTCTGGCCTGCCTGCAAGGATTATTGAGGATGAAGACTTTGTGGATATGATGAAACAAGCTGACAAAAGGTTCAATGTGTGCAGTGGGATATATGTTAAAAGGAGAATCAGTGTGTAAAGTTCTATTTTGCACAGTGTTATATAAATAAAATAGAGAAAAAGAGAAGCAGTGTGTGAAGAATTTTTATTCTGTATAGTGTTATAAGTTTAAAAAAGCAGTGTGTGGAGAAGTTCTCTCATTTAGTGTTGACTAAAATGACAAAAATGACTAAATTTGATTTTCGTCATTTAGACTTAGACTAAAACTAAATCGGGAAGGCAATGACTAAATATGACCAAGACTAAAATAGATTTTTGTCATAGTGACTAAGACTAAATTTTAAAAAGCTGACCAAATTAACACTGTTCACAAGGAGATTGATTAAATAGAAATTGCATCTGAGGAAGGCATTCCATCAGTACATTGAGCAGTAATGGGTGGAGAGATAACAGGGTTCCTACAGCATAAGGCAAGTTAAATTCCAGAATTTTAAAGACTTTTTAATGCCACTTAAAACAAAAATTAAAGATCAACTTTACAATAAACACAAGAAAAACCTGGTAGCAACAAATTTATCTCAAATGTTTTCATAAACCATTACTTTCTGGCCCAGTAGATATTTCAAATTTGGAAAAACGTTCCATATAGGAAGAAAGCTAAAAACACACCAATAACAAATATATTTGTAACTAGTGTTGCGCCGATGCCATTTTTTGCTGGCATTTAGATGGCATTTTCTGTGCAGTATCGGCCGATACCGATACCATCTGTTTAAAATTGATGTGTGTGTGTATATATATGAAGAACTGCATACTACTTGGATGTAAAATAATTGCCATCATGGCTTTGTCAAGCTGCTGCCTACCTTTGTGAAGCAGGAAAAAGACTATTAGAAAGTGAATCCAGTAGAACCTTTTATTGCCCATCTGGAATGGATGACAATAGTTAAACTTTTGGCTCTCAAAATGGTATCGTAGCCCTATTTGTTGGTACTCGCCGATACAGGTGCCACCATTTTTGTGCTGGATTGAAGCCCCCCCCGATACTGGTATCGGTGCAACGCTATTTGTAACAACTACCGGAATGAATTCCCTTCTCAATCCCTGTACTGCAGGGGTGGGCAATTCCAGTTCCTGCAACTTTTAGATGTGCCTTGGGTTCAACGCACCTGAATCAAGTACTCAGATAATTGGGAGGACTCTGCAGGAACCGACTGCATACTGAGGAGGTAACTCAGCCATTTGATTCAGGTGTGTTGGACCAAGGATGGATCTAAAAGTTGCAGGATACCGGCCCCCAGGAACTGGAATTGCCCACCCCTGCTCTACTGTTATTGCCGGTGTAGCATCAAACATTATCCGGAGATATGGTTTTTCTGACGCTGTTGTTGATGTGAGAGACGCTGTGGAGGCGTTGCAGAGACAAGGATGGAACAGAATGGAGAAATACCTGCTGCTTCACCATAACTTCATTTTGAGGCTTTGAGTTTCATGCTTTGCACATGTGTCTCCACTGCCTTGATTCCCGTGCTTCATCTACATTCCCTGGTACTGGTTTTAGCCATGCAGAAAACTCTTGGACGGATAGCCCATTTTTCATTGAATTCAAAATTGCACAATGTTGTCCAGATAAAAAGTTAGTAGCACATCAAACAACAAGGTCCAGCCACAACATTGTTTTTAATGGTTCCGCTATCGGGACGGAACTAAAATCGTTATGATATGGATTACAATAATAAAATCCTATGTGGTAACAATTTTATTTCCTTTGAAAGACTGATTTAAGACATTTTAATACCAATTAGGCCTTTATTTTATATTGAAGAATTCAATGCCTTTTAAGATTTTTTAAGGATCTGCAGAACTTTGGATAAGAGCTTTGCTTTGAGCTTTGTTGTTCTATGATCCATTTGCTGTGATATCAGTGGTTTTGAAAACATGAATTTTTAAAACCTTGGTATACCTTCACAAAAGATTGATATCTAATGTAATCAGCAGAGCTTTATTAAAATGACCTCTTATCAAAAACAAAAGCAGTGATTCACTTTTAATGTCATAAATAATTCTAGTCTAAATTCCAAGACTTTAAACTACAGAGGAAAAGGGAAATCCCATGGGCTCAATATTGGACATTTTTATTTCAAACCTTTAAATAGATCTATGCTGGATCTATTTTGATTATCTCACATTGAGATCATCAGGATACACAGGCTTTGAGCTTGGCTGTCTTTAACTGGAACACCTTTTATTATACTGTATTTTCCTGTAATCTACATTTCATTGCAATAGACAGATCAGGGGGAATTAAACTGACTCAACAAAAATGGTACATTCCTTTACGTCATAAATGGGGTAAAGCAAGACGATCTTTAACACTCTCCAGGCAGATGTTGTAGATTTGCAACAGCTAAATGCTACATAGCTAATTACTCCACATCCATATTTTAAGAGATTCTGTTACTCAGAAGTACAACAGAAGGACTTAGTTGTGCATTTGCAACAAACAGTTTCTCTCCAGCTCACCAGATGACAATACTGACTCAATTTCAACATGGCTGAGTCCTTGGTGTCACTGAAACAGATTTTCTAAGCACCAATTTCATGTAAGTATCACTACCAATTTCCATTATTTTGAAATCAATACTACATAAGATGAATCATGAATGTGTGTAGATATGACACATGCCAATTAGTAGATTTTATCTCCTATGGGTTTTTCACCAGAGGCATCTCGATTTCAATGTTGTGGATTCGCAACGTGTGCCCAAATAGTTACCAATGGATGCTACATGCTTTATCTAGTAGTTTGCCTATATTTCGAGCAACAGTTTGACAGAAACTGCCTTTTTTTAAGAGGTTTTCAGATGTCGGTGGAGAAAAAGTTGTGAGAAAATTTATTTTTTGAATTTTGTTTTGTTAATTTTTTGTTAGTGACATTCTAATAAAGTTAACGTTCATATCAGATTCAGTCTTCAGTGTTAATTTACCACTCCTGGCCGCTGTTGCAAATATGCAACATCCCAGAATTAATTGCATGTGAAGATCTCTCTCAAAAAAACAGTCTGAATTGTATATTACTACCCCATATGATCATTTTCTCCAAATATCAGATTTTTCCTGCAACTACAACTTAATTTGAGCCTGAGAGGGTTAAATATCTGAATACATTGTAAGCAAGTAAAAACATTGCAACCTTTAGTTAGTTTTACACCTGAGATCAACAAGTCTAACCTGCTTCAGAATCTAAACTTAAAACATTAAAAAAAATCCATCAGTGGCCATTTGTCAAACACTGAATGCCTCCAAACACCATCTAATATAAAGCATGCGCTGATGTTAACGTGATGCCTGCAAATTAAACAACCCTCTGTGAGCTACCATTAGCAACTAGCCTGTTAGCTTAGCAACCGCAAGTTTAAAATAATAACAAAGCGGACAGCTGAATCTGTGTGCGCACGAAACAGCATGGAATACGGCAGACTGTCACTGCTTTTAACATTATGGAACTCACTGCTGATATTTAAGGTCAGTTTAGCCTTTTTTTCGTGCTAGCTTGCTGTAGCTGCTTAATGAATGGGGGGTTGGGCTAGCCTCCAGCATCCTCCATCCTCCACCAGACAATAGATAACTCACCTGATTATAGTGGACCCGGAACGGTTTCAGGTAGTTGGACTCTGTGCATGGGACGACTTCAATGTTATTAATCTCTTCCATTATTTACAGCTAGAGCAGGATTTGGAGGTTTACCGATGCCACCGTCTCCTCACACTGACAGTGAAGGAATTCCTACGGAAGCCGGGGAAGGACATTCCAGTTTCGATTCGAGTAATGAAGTCAAGTGATTTCTTTTCCGTTATACCATGAGTAATATGAAATAAATGCGAGGCAGTATTTCTTCACAATATTTAGCAATGAGGTTCAAGATATTAAAAAAGTGTTTAAACTGAAAAATATAGATGAAAATCATTACAATATTGAATGAAAAGAACAAACGTTAACACTAGTTTACCAAAACAATAGCACACCAGACTCCAGTGATATCATCAAGTCATCATGTTCAGATTGGATTCCCTTGATGAGATGACTGGAGTCTGCTGTGCTATTGCTTGGTTGGAAAGAAAACCTGACACCCCTGAAATCAGGCATCTCCAAAGTCGGTCCTCGAGGGCCGCTGTCCTGCAGGTTTTAGAGGTTTATCTGCTTTAGCACAGCTGATTCTGATGACTGCAGTTCAGCAAAACCTGTTAATCAATTATCAATGTAATACAGCTTTGCTGGAGCAGAGAAACCTCTAAAACCTGCAGGATGGTGGCCCTCGAGGACCAACTTTGGGGATGCCTGGAAGGATGGGGTCTGCTGGTACTGTTATTTTCAATGTAGCCTTACCATTTTTGTTTTACTGAACGCAGTAGCATAAAGGTAACATGCATATTTGAAGATAATAAGACTGAATATTATAACTATGATGATTATGTGATGATAATAAAATGATTGATGAAAAATATAAGGAAAGTTGGACTGAAAACTTAAGTAATATTGTTTAGAGAGTATAATCAAAGGCCACTCTAACTAAAATATGTTTTCAACCTCTAGACTTAGATTTGTATTTAGACAAACTTTATTGTCATCTTTTATACGCGGTGTATTTAAAACGAATTGTCGATGTACGCAGCATTTCAACAGTGAATGAACAGCTTACAATAGTGAAATGAACTTTACCATTTATAAAGTGCAGCAGTGATCAGAATGTAAACAGTTTAGGAGCAAAAGGAAAACCAGTTTAAAGTCATGGTGCAAAAGGCATTGATATATATATATGATGCAAAATGCAGTAGAACATTGAGCTGCTATTTAAAGCAAATTATTTAAAGCAACTTAGGGTTTCAGCAATTTTACCGATTTCTGGGAGTTTATTCCAGAGTTGTGGAGTATAAAAGCTAAAAGCTTCTTCTCCATGTTTGGTTCTGGGTACATTTGAGCCAGAAGACCTGAGAGGTCTTGGTGGTTGAGATAACAACAAAAATACATTTAATACATTTTGTTGATGGGGCATTAATTAATGTATAAATTACAATAAGTATTTTTCTTTCGGTATATAATAGTTATCGAAACATAAGTTTGGTTATTAATTAAGGTGCAATGTTTTAAATTCCAATGGCTGTGCAATTTCAAATATGAAATGTTCCAAATAACCCTTACAAATTTAGTTATTTTTGACTTAAGTATTAAAGATAGTCATAAAGTTCTGTGCAGTCTGGGATGGGGATTTTGGACTTTTTGTCTTCTTAAAGCGACGAAAAATCTGAAATTTTCTAGGACTTCTTGGGTAGCATGTCAGCGAAATAATGGATTAAGATTTAGCTGCATTTTAACAGCCACGCTTGGTTGGTGCCTTACCTCCTAAATTCAGTGGATCCCTTTGTTTCTCATTATTATCACTTCACTAAAACCTAATCTGCTGCTTTTTTTCTCAATAATTTGGACAAATATTTTTTATTTTCTATATCTTTAATTTTCTGTATTATTTTGACTTATTTTTTTATTGTCTTAGGTAATTTTAGTGCATTTAATGATGTTTGTATTTCTTCTTTTGTGCAGCACTTTGTTCTTGTTTTTTTTAAAGTGCTGTATAAATAAAGTTGTACTGAATTCGATTGGACTATCTTGTATTTTTGTAATTTTAAGCTTATAAAATCCTCTAGACATTTGACTACACTTGTTTAATCCTAATATTTATAGAATGATACAGTTGAATGTCACTATAGTAAAAAAAAAAAAAAAAAAAAAAAGGTCCTTAACTAAAAAAGAAAACATGAGAAATGGGTGACCAACAAATTCAAAGATAGAGGTTTTTATTATATAATTGCTTACCTGACAGCAAAAAAGTAAACAACCGATGCTGTTGCATTTCACTATTGTGTTTTAACATGTTCCCTAAACCCAAGTTTGTTTACAGGTCCAACTTTGAAAGCACAACAATTACTAACAGTCTCAGACCACTATTGTACTATTTATAGAAGGCAGCCTTTCTGGCGTATGTGCAAGATAAGGTCAGGTAAAATTTGAACGTCCCAGAGGGGTGATTTGTTTTACAGACAGAAGTCACTCAGCTGCAAAAAACACATATTAGGGACAGAAAAACAAAACATAATCAACAAGATGTATGTATATTTACATGTACAACCACACAACAAAGTTTAATGTCAGTTGTTCTTTAATTCTTAGTACAGAAAACAATCAGTATAGACATAACAGGTCTGATTTTGTTAGTGTTGCTTGGCTACATGAAGCATGATCATGAGATGTTTTTACATAACAGTTGAAGGTTACATTCTTTTGTTGCCTGGATCTCATAGTTGTACAACAGGTGCTTATGTTAAAGTGTATTTTACATGGGGCAATAATTATGGTTTGTGCGTTACTGTAATCAAAAAGCAGTAATTATCAGCCTGCATACCTTCTAACTTTTACTGAACTGAGGCGAATGAAAAGACAAAACAGAAAAAAACAGAATACAATCTGCATAAATATGGTAGATGGCATTAAAAGATCTGTAAAAATCTGTATGTACAAGTATATGTTGCAAAAATAAAAGAGGACTCAGTATCCAGCCCTGTGGATCCCCAGGGGTTGAAAAGACTTTCATAGAAGTATAATCTTCTTTTCTTTTATACAAAGCAAATCCTATATTTTAAACAGCCAGATATATTTGCTGGATGTCAACCTCAAAAGAAAACAATGAACCCCCCATAATTAAATGCTGCTCTGGGGTCAGGTTCAAACAAGATAAAGTTCATTGTATACTTTTGTAAGACAGTTCCAGTGAAAATTGTGCTCCAGTGAAAATGGCTTATTAACATTTAAATGTGATTTCTTTTTATTCTCCAAAAATTTTAGAATTTAACAAAAGCAAAACTAACATACAAATGAGTCTAACATTTCATGACTGGCTCATAATGCCATATTAAACACATTTCACCAAGTTTTGACCAAATTACTTAAATTAATCTTTAAGTTGCAAGCAACAGGCCACACCCTTTTATAGACATTTAAGAGATCTTAAACTATCAGTTTCTGGCTTGCTTGATACAATTAGATATAAAGCTGCTGGCAATTTCTTCAGCATTTTAAAAATGAAAACCTCCTCTGGGACTTTTTACTTAATGACCTCTGAAGGTTCTCAAATCAAAATCCCACGTGCAGTTTCTCATGAGTCGAACCATGAGCAAAGCTTCTCCCCAGTGTTGAGTAATGAATAAGAAAAGGGTGTGAGACATTTTTCTCACAAGCTCAACCTAATGGGTGAGGCTACATGATGTCACCCTCTCATATCAATAACAGCCCGGAGAACAATCTTCAGAGACTCCAATCTCAATGGGGTGGACTTCCTCCTGCAAACTACCAGTCTATACCACCCCAGTCCGCCGCCCACTGTACAAGGACAGGACATAACACTTTTACAAACTGATTTACATCGAAATAAATAAAGGCCAAGACCAAACAATGTGCAGACCCAAAGGAGGAACCGGCGTCTCTCTGCTTAGAAAGCTCAATCTATATCAGCCAATCCGGGCAAGCTGCAGGGCACGATAAGAAAGGAGGGACTGTTGAGTTGAAGCATTGTGCTGGAGTTCACCTCCTCTAGTTTGCTGGCACACTCTATAGGAAACACAAAGAAACAGTGGCAGACCAAAAAGCAGATGAAACAACAAGGAGTTATAAATACATGAGTAGAGACGAACAATCACTATTCTCAAATCAGGCATATATTTGTCAGAGTCTGTAGGTTCTTATGAAGATTGTTCTTTGTATTGCTGCCCATTGAAGCTGCATATTTTGTTACATTATAACCTCAAACTTCAGAACTTCAGATTATGTGATAGAGCAACATAAAGCCATGTATAGTGCTGTTTTAGTATACAAAACATGCAGCAAAACATGCTGCAAACAAACAAAAGAATGATGCACACTTCAACGCACCAGAAACTAAAAAGAATGTGGCAGAAAGCAAAGAAATATTTTTTTCAAAGGCTAACAACGATTGCAAGCGGTCTGGTGCACTTCTGTTTTGTGAAATGACATTTTTATCATTCCTGTGTCTGCAGCACTTTAATCGATTAGCCTCTGTAATTTGCTTTATTCTGTTTATTTAACAAAAGAAATCTGAAAAGTGTGGCATGCATTTGTACACAAATCCACTAAGCAAATACTCGTATTCTTCACCATCCAGCCTCCAGCCGCTGTAAGTAAAGCATACCTACAGCGTGATGTTGCAACCACCATGGTTTCTGGTTGGGCATAAGTTTTCCTCTACACATTGTTTCCTTTGCGTTTTAGCTGTCTTCCACATATTTCTCATTTGTGTGTGTGAACCTAAATTGTTTTTTTAACAAACATAAAACATGACTGGTTTTATTCGTTAATATTGCATCTTTCTTATTGCCACCCAACCACAAAACCCACTGATTTGAATATACCTAGCCTTCCTTTTGATCCATTTTGTTTCAGTCTTTGCAGTTTGTATTTAGCTTGTTAGAAACATTGGTTTTTCCTTAAGTTATACCAAATCATTGGATCAAACTGATCTCATCAAAAATAGTTCTACTTCTTGGAGGCGAACTCTCTGTTGTGCTAATGTTGAGTTGTAACTAAGTTGCTGGTGATGCTCACCAGCAACTTGATTCAGAGATGCTCTTCTCCACAACTAGGTTTTAATGACTGGTTGTTTCGGTCTGGCCATTCTCCTCTGACCTCTGGTGTCAACACAGCAATTGTACCCACAGAATTCCTCTTTTT